CTCCTTATGTCACCCTTTTTACTTTCTCTATGCTAAGGGACTAGGCTGTCATTCTCTCTCCTTCACCACTAGCTTTCCTATAAGTTGAGTTCCCTGTTAAAGCAGCTGAACTCGCGGCGCGCCTTGAACAGACCGATCAACGCGAGAAGCCTCCCCTCCCGAACATTCATGAGTAGCATGTACTACCTTTTAGTTGGGAATCTCCCAGCAGTACTTGCTTTAACAGGGCAGTCTCCTGAAAGTACTATCTTTTGATTTGGGTGAATTTTGATTTTTAGAGTGACCAGATTAAGGTTAAGTATTACTGTAAAATTGGATTTGGCATAGGTATTTTCAAAATATTACTGCAGTCGTCACCACATCGGCATGAACAAGTATTTCGTCCCATCCCAGATCACTTCCGCTATCACCGAAAGGTTTTTCGCTATGTAGTTTGTGAATGGGAGTTTCCGGTACAGAGCTGCCATCAGAGATGCTATCTGATTTGTTCTGCTTCGATGTCCATGATGATTGTTTCAATCTACCAGGGGTATCCTGCAAGCCAGACAACAAGAAACGAGGCAGTCACAATGAGACAGACACATCGGCTCTCTGAACGAGAAAACCTATTCTAACTAACTAGTTTTCCCAGTCGTTGCTTTTTTCCGAGGCGAAGCAAACCGCCTTCAAGGGCGAGCATCTCCAAAGCGAGCGAAAATACGCTCTAGTCTGGAGAAAGAAGACAGTGAGTTGATGATGAGAACCGACATTCGGGTGAAATCATATGACGAAGCTCATAGAATCAGAAATGGGCCAGCGTCATCCTAGTCAGGGAGATCCGGGTGTGAAACGCTGGGTCTGATCACCCCTTCCGTGTGACAGTGACAGATAGGATCTGAAAAAGGGTATCCGACCCTGTCGGTTGGAACTGTCATGGGTCTAAATCGTGCAGTGGACCCGTAGTGTCAGACCGTGACCTAATGGCCCAACGACAAACCCAGACCACAGAATGTAGAGTGGGCGATGGGGCTTGTTCTGCACTGGGTGTATGTATAAAATAATCTTTTGTGAACCAAACCGGATACAGAATCTTTACCCTATTTCACTTCATTGCCCATCGATAAGTTTAGATCTTACCATTAGAATACTTACTGAGCGTTAGAGCTCATCGGGAATGCGGTGGGAGAGCGGTACATGTACCAAATGATCTTTTCGAGGATACCCTCATTCGATAACGATACCAGGACCTTCACCCAGCTGCAATTCCCAGACAAAATCGATCGCAAACGTTAACTAAGAATATTGCCCCTCTCTACATTCTCGGGTCTGAGAATAGCTCGACCCTCGATAAGAAACCAACGGGAAAGGGAGAAGAGCATTAAAACATATGAAAACGCGAAGATGTCGAAAAAGCATGCCAGGCTGTACGACATGAAGTTGGTAGTCGGGAATAATTCATGATTTTCTATCGATTACCGATGGGGGGGGGGGAGAAGACGGAAGGATGTTATGATGCCGAGTGCATAATCAGCTGCTACTTGCCGTGACGTCTTCGTGCTTCATCCGCCTTAAGGTCATTTTTTTACTGACGAAGTGATGCCAACGACTCGGAAAAATGAGGCGATCACAAAAGCCCGACAAGAAACGCGATTGAGGGTAATTAGCTAGGTAATGAGGACCTGTACGACCTAGACTATTGTTTTGTCCGTTGACAAGAAGGGATCCGAGCTGGTTTCTTGTCCCGTTCATAGCGATGAACGATCCGAGAGGCACGAAAAGACTGGCAGAATCTCAACGGTGACTCTCGAAGACGACCAAGAAGTCAAGGTCAATAAAGAATTTATTGCATCTCACTGCATTTATCTCCAGGCTCTGGCCTATGTAAGCTGCAGTCAATGAAGAGTTTCTCCTGTTCACTGAGCTGAAGAGGAAATACTGCGCGTTTTGCAAATGATCGGCACATCTTGGGTGTTAGTTCCTATGCAAAATCTGAATAACTGTACGTTTATGCACGGGCAAAATCGTCGCTATCGCTTTGACAGCTCTAATTATTCACTTCATCAAAGATGATGTTTTCAGCGTCGGTGAAATTGTTTCGGATTGTGAAATTGTTTCGGCTGAAGGCTTTTTTTTCTACAAGTTTCAAGCTGATATTGTTTGATAACTGCTGTTTAACGCCGCAGTACGCGATTCGAAAGCTATCACAAGAATGCTGACAAATAGCCATTGAGCTGAGTGGTCAAAAGTGGCCTCGGTAGCGTAATAGGGAACGCAACTGCCCGGTAAGCAGAAGATGCGGGTTCGAATCCCGTCCGTGGTCCGACTTTTGCCCATAACTCAGCATTCTTGTGATAGCAAGTTCACCTTATTCTCATGGAAAATTTGTAACGCCACGCCGGCGTTGATACCATTCTGGCGTTAGGCTACCTCGGCACCAAAGCCCTATTACATGTTTATTACAAAAATAAATTTTATGCCCTCTTAAGGCCAGCTCTTAATCTTGAGGCTATAACAAGATTAGCGTTGATCACTCCCTCCAAGATGCGCCGCATGTTCAGTTTCCACCCCAAAACGTGCTAATGTATGAATGTGTAGGGGACCAATCAACAGTATCCGGGTCAAGACAGTCTTCAGTCAGACATTTTTATATTCTCAGACAGTCAAAGGAAATAACTGCGAAGAAACGTAAGGTTTCGGCTGCCCCGGTGTTGCTGTTTCATCTACGGTTACCATTGGTGTGGTGGCATTCCCATAGGGCACTGCTCTAATAGCTTCTAAGGGTTAGTCACTAATTTTTGGGAGAGTGGAGTCCGTGAGAAACTCACACTCGTACGACGAACATACAGGAACGGATCCGTTGCAGGATCTACAGAAATTAATCATACTTATCCCTTTCCAAAGTAATCTAAGAACTAACCTTATAGAAAATCGTTGGTGGTAGCATCGTGAGGGCGCTAAGAGGTGGTGAGTGAGTGACCACGCGGGTGTCTGGGGCGGCTGCGTAGACCCAAAGTGATCCGTGTTGGATGTTTAAATAAAAAGCCGCTGCGCGAATGAGACAAAGCATTTTTGATTACGTCGAGGCGAACGTATGCAGCGAGAGCGGAAAAACGCTGGCGCTTTTAAGGAAACTAGGGTACGCCACCGGTTTAATCATCGGCCGCTATCGGGGGCGCTGTGGTCCCACAGAAAAACCACTCAGACCGCCTCCGACAGACAATTGACGGAGGTCGAGAGTGCTTGAGAAACTTCTCCTTATGTGCCATTTTACTATGTATGAAGAGATTAGGAACAACTATTTCTCACTGTCCATCGAACTCCTTGAAATACGCCGTTCAATCAACTTACACTCGGAATTGTGGCAGTAATTGATTGCCTATCCATAGTATACAACGGCTTAGGCGTTCTACTGTTATTTAGAGGCGTCATTTCACTTTGAAGGCATGGTTGACCCCCACTCCCACCCATGTTAATCCGAATTTATGGGCCGCGAGTAAGATGTTTCAAAGGCCGAATAGATGACTGAATAAGACGAAGAATAGCGGAGACGAGGGCGAAGATCTCCAAGGAACCGCAACCGCCGGCACTATCCCTGAAAACCGTATTGAGTTGAATCCCTCCCAATATCGTCATCGCTTCTGTAATCCGTTAGTTGTGCACCAAAACGACTGATAAACTCTGGTGACGGAATAAAAGACTCGAGAGAAGTTGATGCCATCATGCTGTGAAACTCTCATAAATTTGCCCTTTTCTCCTCCCTAAAAGAATCTGAGTGAGACCGCACCTAGCTGGCTAGTCGTGGTCTTTCGCTGATGAAACACTCCCTCCCGAAAGAGTCCTTCAGCACTGCGCCTATTTTCAAAACGGTTTTTTAGAGTATTCGAACTAACCTTTTTTTGAGCAGCTCGGGAATGCAAAAAATAGCGGAAGGGGATTGAAGATGAAAAGGCTATTTTAACCTCTCTGCTCACAAATTAAGTGTGATAAGCGGAAAATATTTCAATCACTGTTTCCCCCTAACTACCCAACATTTCGAGGCTCAGACCAAGACTGGTCGAAGTTTCGTCCGGAGTTAGCCGACTTTTTGCACATTACTAGGGAGGTGGCTCAAACTTCTGAACACCGGCCCATCTCGAAATCGCCCACACACGTCAAGGCTGTCCGGTATTATAGGCGCCTGTATCGCATACACTCGGAGTTTTCGGTCTGGGTACATGTGGTGGGCCTCATCAGTGGGTAAACAGCTCAAGGAACTTCTGAGAAAGTCCTTTTTTGAGAAATGATCCCAACCGAGATCTGGCCTGAATTCAAAATTTACGTAGTAAATGGTATGCAGTGCCACATTCATGGTAGGTAGAGTGACGGAAGGGGAGAGGGTCGTGCCGTGGGAAGAATGTTAGAGGAAGTCTACGGCTCACACATACTGTGTTTACAAGACCTGATCGCTCCACCGGGTACTAAACCGAAGGAAAGAAGCAGTAGTAGTTTTGGTTCCACAGGTCAGGGTAGTCTCATCAGCGTACATCATCGTTTCTTGGGAGAATCCTGTTGTGGTGAGCTTAGAGGGGGAGGAGCCGGGTATGACACCGCTGTGGAAGGAAATTAGTCATATCTTCGTATGGAAACGCTTCAATGCGGATGAGTCATAAGCTATCACATCACGAATCCAGCACAATCCGGTCACTCCATTTTTTTCCCAACCTAATCTCCTTTCCATTTCATTGCGAAGTGCACGTCAGCTCGGATTTTCGTCCTGTGTTCTTTACACAAAAATGAAAATGGATGCTGGTCTTTGCTCTCCAGGACCATCTCAGTTGTTCGAAAAGTGGCCTTTTCCCATATCAAAGAGATTTTCGGCGTTTTTTCACTTCTGACTGCGTACGCTAGCGGACCTGGTCACGCTACTGAGGACTGATACGGAAGTGAGAAGCGGTGGTAGTATTAGTCTATAGTTATTTATTAGTTATTTAGTCGATAGTTATCCCACAGAGTGGTATAACCACAGTGCTTCATCGTCAGGGCCCAACATCGTTGAGGGAATACCATCAGAAGGGTCTTATGTGGTTGCTGGGGAGCAGGGCCATGAAGAATTTTAGGGCAGGACAGGGGGGTTTTTGTCCTCGAAGACAATTTTTGCGAGCAGGCCTTCTCCCCTCTCCCTCCCCAGCTCTTCAATGCAACCAGCTACAATATTTAAGAGTTGAAATCAGTACTCGATCGGTGAC